GATATGGATTTTTTAGGGCCGATGCCGATACCGATTTTTTTCCATCACCCTTAGCTGATGACCGATTATGGACTGCCGATTTTCTTGAGCCGATATTTGGGGCCGATACTGCTTTTGCTCCCTCAATTTACATCAAAAAAATGACACAATGATAACAAATATTACAGGTCTCAAGTTTAAAATAAGAAACATTTATTGAACAGTAAAAAATACTAAAACAAGATGGAAAGTTGAGGTAGAACAGGTAGAATATTATTATTATTGTTATTATACAATCAAATAAAAAAAGAGTTCAGTGCTCTTAAATCTTCCAGTAATGTCTTTATAAAACAAACAAATATTTAAGCTGAAGCATGAATAAAACAACAACTACTGTACACAGTAGGATTCGCTGCATGTGCGCTGCAGGGTCTTCCAGCAACACAGAGCTGCCTGTGGATGCCTGTCTGTAAATCATGCCAGGGAAAAATAAATCCGCGAACCCACGCGCATATCGGCCGATGCCGATACAAGTAAAAAACTCAAATATTGGCCCGATATATCGGCCGGCCGATGTATCGGTCTATCCTTAATAATAACGCCACCCGTAGCACCACTGAGCTAGCTAACGTTACAGCTCAGCCAAGGAGGACACCATTTATGTTTACGTCTCACACTGTCATTAGCACGAGCCTCTCGTCTATGAGTAGATGCACACTTCCTTCTGCACAGTGATACAGTTATTGAGTGTAGTTCAGTAGAAAGAAAATAGTTCCTACATGAAACCGCTCACAACAAGGTCTGTGGATTATCTTGAGTAACCAGGTCATGACTTCTGGAAAGAGATATTGATGTTTTTTGGCACTTTGAGCACCACAAGCTGAATGCCATCTAGTTCCATTATACTGGAGAGAAGGCAGACATCTCTACAGCTGATATCTCCAACACTCTGCAACTCACACCAAAACTATCTACACTGATAAACAGCACTACAGGTTAGAAGAGAAATATGTATTTTTGATTTTAAGGTGAAGTGCCCCTTTAAGTAAAGGATCTGAGTACCTCTTCCTCCCCTGCAGGTGACCACAACTCCTCACCACTGCTTCATCCCTGATAGAAATCAATAAACATCTCTTTTCATTCTCCCTCTCAGTTGACATAACCACACAGTATAATATGTCAGAGTGTGACCAGAGGCCTCCCCGGTGCTTTTGTTTGGATTAAGCTGAACATACATCTCCCTCCTCTGACTGTGGTTTTGGTGAGCAGAGGGGAGATGTGGGACATGGAGAGGAGTGAATGTCAGCTCCCACTAAACAGATTGTATGACTCACTCAGCGCAGCCCGGGCTTTTACAACACTGCTGGCCTAGTTCCTGTGTGTGTGTGTGTGTGTGTGTGTGTGTGTGCGTGCGCGTGACTCACTCGTTGAGCAGGGGCACAGAGGTGCGTCTCTTGCTCTTCTGGACCATGTTGGCCTGATTTCGGAGGGAGATGCGGAGCGTGGAGGGAGCCAGTCGACACGGCTCACCGTCCACCTGCGTGCACGCGCAAAGACACACAAAGAAAACTTAACACACACATGACACAATACTTTTTTTCTGTACCTTAATTCAGGAAAAATAGACATGTTTTACAGACAAACATGACCAGAAAATATCATTTAACTCCAGCGTGGGGCCAAAACTCACAGATCACCATGTGCACACTTAGACACGTTACTGCTAGCTATATGGTAGAAAAAGAAGGTCTCACGGTGTGCCTGAGAAGAAATGTCTTCAATATGTGATTTGATTGCTCATTTTATGACAATGTTAAGTTCCCCTGGAGGGTTTCAGACCTCTTGTAGCGCTATGAAGCTGTTTATCTATAAGTTGGCCCCTGTTTATTTTGTGCATGCAAATACGCAGGTGACACAATACTACAGCTATTATTAATGCTTTCACACTGTTCTCCTGATCAGCAGGTGCTGGTAACAAGACGATGTGTGCAGCAAAGCACCCACAAAGGTAGAGAAGACGAAAACTGTTAGATAGTACCTACACAGAGAGAGTCGGGGGAACATGTCAGACGAGCTCACTGTGATCACAGGCTGCCCACAAGGATGTGTTCTTTCCCCTTCTCTTTGTCTACTAATGAATTTATGATCAATGACAAATATTTTAGATTGCTTAAATATGCTGATGGCAGAAGAAATACCTGCACCAATTCAACTGAGCTAGACAGCCACAAAAAAGGCTCACAGGCTGAGATCAATGCCAAAAAATGTCTTTTTTGATGACATGGCCTTGGTTGTTTTACAGCACACAGACCTATCGGGTGAAGCTGTCTACCTGACCCACACCAAAGCCCTTCAAACATGGTGTCGCACCAGCAAGTTTTAAATGAATGTGGCCGAGACTAAAGAACTGATTATTTGCACGAAGAGCCAGATTAGATTAGCACTAGATTAGAATTAGAGTCAGCCCCTCCAAGCCTGAAGTCATGGTTCTCTGTCGGAAACCGATGGATTGCCCTCTCCGGGTTGGAGGAGAGTTCCTGCCTCAAGCGAGGGAGTTCAAGTATCTCAGGGTCTAGCTCACGAGTGGAGGTAGAATGGAGCGTGAGATGGTAGTGATGGAAAAGAATGAGATCGTGGATACAAGCGGTGGAAATGAGTTTCCTCTGTGGGGTGTCTGGGCTCAGCCTTAGAGATAGGATGAGGAGCTCGGACATCTGGAGGGAGCTCAGAGTAGAGCCACTGCTCCTTCACGTTGAAAGGGGTCAGTTGAGGTGGTTTGGGCATCTGATCAGGATCCTCCTGGGCGCCTCCCACTGGAGGTGTCCCGGGCACGTCCCACTGGTAGGAGGCCCCGGGGCAGACCCAGAACACACTGGAGAGATTACATATCTCATCTGGCCTGGGAACACCTTGGGGTCCCGCAGGAGGAGCTGGAAAGCGTTGCTGGGGAGAGGGACGTCTGGGGTGCTTTGCTTGGCTTGCTGCCCCCATGACCTTGTCTCGGATAAGCAGATGAAAATGGATGAGTGGAGAGCCAGATTCACTCGATGGTTAGTACGGTTCTGGACTCCCATGTGAGCCTCTCTGGAAATACTGAGTAGACGCTCACAGCGACTTTATCTTTTTAGGAAACTGAATGGCCTCTGTGTTGGTCAGCAGATTTTAGAATTAGTGCACCAAACTATGGTGGAGAGTGTTGTAACTTTTCAACTTCCTGCCTGGTACTGACACCTTCACTGTTATATCCAAGAGTAAGCTCTCTACGATTGTGACAATGGCAAGTACAATAATTAGCAAGTCACAAAAGCCCTTAGGGTAGGGTCTGCTCTGCAAGTATAAATCCTGCTTTATTCCTATTCGACCAGGACCCTGCTCCTTAGTCCTTGTTGGAGTTTGCCAGCTGCACTTTTAAGTCAAGTTGTGGCAATATGTGCTTCCTATAGCCTGATAGGAATGCAAAGGTGTTTGCACAAATATGCCAGCACGACATTTGAAAGAGGGCATGAAGTGAGGATTACATGTAGGCCTACAGCCAGGGCATGTTTCAAGCTTGGTCTCATTAAACGTCTCAGTCTGAGTGCTGAAAATTTAATGGTAATATGCTGTATAACCTAATTTAACTGACTTTGTTTGGATTCAGAAAAGTCACGCTGGGGTAAGAGAGCCCCGTAACTGCACATTTATGTTCAGGACAGGTCATATCCGATGGTTATACGTGAAAGAACATCCTAGATTATATTATATTATATGTTCAGAGGCAGAGATATGCACTTCTTTATGTGACGCTGTGACATAATGAACCAAAATTTCGAGCCCCGAATTTACCTTGATCCACTAAATATGTAATGGTATACTTTTAATATGTCCTTTGGATGTCCCAAGAGATCACAAAAAAACTTTGAGTGATTACTTTTGCAGTTTTCCCTGAGTCAAACTTTAACTGGACTGTGAGCTTTAATCTGAATATAATTATAACACAGCACATTTAGTCACTCAACAGTCTAATATTGTAGCAGGACGACTCACCTGAACAGGTACAGTCTTGAATGTGGTGAGGACGACTTCTCTGCACTGGTGCAATCTCTCTCCATGACCGCCGACCTGTAGCGCTGCCTGGTGGACAACAGGGAGAGTTACACCACAGGGTTTCAGTGACAGTATTTATTTTTCCTCTCTGATGCCCTGCTCCTCTCACCAGTGAGGCCATGGTGAAGCCAATAACCTCGATGCAGCCGTCGTCATGGCGCTGCGGCTCAAAGTCCCGATGGTCGCCTGTGTTTCCCCACGGCATGGTGCCAGCACAGTACCTAAACACACACACATATTAATTTTCAATTATGTAACTAGAGCTACAACAGTTAGTCAATTATTTCATGAGTTGATTGACGAAAAATTAATTGTCAACTATTGTGATCGAATAATCGTTTTAGTCACTTTTTAAGCCAAAATCCAAACATTTGCTTGTTTCATGCTTCTTAAATGTGAGGATTTGATGCCTTGAGTTATTTCAAGGTACATCCTCACCATGTTTCTATACCTAAACCTAAACACAGTAATTTCTCTAACCTAAACCCAACCTCCGTTGATGACGCACAAAGGTTCAACCCACACATCAGCTTCTGTAACGGTGGAGATTCTTTGTAACGTCAGGTTGTGAATCTGTTTTCATTATTCCGACGCTTGACCAGAGAAATATTGTACCTGCAGGGAGGTGTGGGAGGATTTAACTCGGTGTCGTCAGAGAACAAACCCTGACAGAGACCTCCTGCTCCTGCATTAAGGAGCTTCTAACCCACTTTCATTAGTCCTGCATTCATTGCTGAGCTCAAGTGTCTCATCATTTTCTTTACCCTGCTTCAAAAGGCTTTTTCATTTCAACAGGAAACACTGAAAAATTTTAATTAGGTTGAATGTTTGGGAAGGAAAAGGAGCCCTTTGAAAGATGTTGCTTCTGTTGACACAAAATGTCAGAAATAAAATATATTGGTCAAACTAATAATTTGTATTTTTTTGATGATCAGATTTAACATCCTATATGTCTAACTTTCATCCAGACTGCTCATTCATTCACTTTCCGTGACCACTTATCCTGTTGGCACCCTGACCCTGACATTGGGTGAGAGGCAGGGTTCACCCTGGGCAGGTCACCAGACTATCACAGGACTGACATATAGAGACAGACAACCATTCACACTCACATTCACACCTACGGAGGAAGCTGGAGCACCTACCTGGGAATGTTTAGAAACACAATGCACTGGAATTTCAGCTCCTGGATCTTGGGAGTCAGATCGGTACCGTCACACTGAGGAAGACAGAGACGGAGTAATGTATGATCCATGTTTTGAGTGGTGGTACATGCCCTCCTTCTTTTGACTCTACTGTACAAAACAACAGATTTTCACTCTCAGATCCTTTGCTTACTTTTTAAACTTCACATCAAGCTTAACTCTCAGTTCTCAGTTTTCACTCTCAGACTCTCAGACTGAATGCTCTCAGTCTCAATCTCACACCTGTTGTTATGTGTAGCAGGTTGACTGATGCAGGTCAAAGGTCACATCAGAGCTGCCCACTTGAGGACACCCTCCATGTGCTAATGCAGCAACAAGGAATTTGAGGCATTGCAGACCTGAGGCATCATGTGTCGTCTTTCAGTGAGGATGCAAGTCACCAGCAAAGCACTTTATTATTTTATGTTCGACAAAATAAAATCTTTCGGAAGAAAAAATTAACTTCAGGGACACGTGCATGTGTGCACGTGCAAGACATTTAGTTAGCCTTTATTCCAAAACATGGCTGCATACTTTTGTCACTTTATCCTTTTTATTTTTTTCTATATACACATATATTAGAACACATCTAAGAGGAAGCAACAAAAATCACGAACACAACGGCAAAAAAAAGCAAATATGACGGATCTAACGTTGGCATTTATTTTCACTTACTTTCACTTATTTTCTGTTTGCAAATAATATTAGACAATACCTACATAGTTTACCTTTAACATTAACCTGTTATCACCAAAAAGTACATGCTTTGCTAACACAAATCGCTAATGTGAGCACTGGCATGACACTTTGAGAGTATAAAAACTATAACGTGCTATTTAACCTCATGCACTCCACCCCCATTTTGTAGCAAAAACGCCTAAAATGACATACCCACATTAAAATGACTGTAGCTTCTGAACCACTCTGACTACATGCATGCATGAGGTCTTGCCAGAAAGAAAACTCCCTGAAGTTTCTTGTGAAAGTGTCAGAAACACTCTAGGTGATACAGAGACAGAGTAATGGGCCTCTGAAGTCAGTAAAAAATTGAAGATTTTGCCTAAAATAAAATAAAAAATGTATTTCAGGATGAATAACTGTGGCTTCATCTGAGCAGGTAAATGACACTGTGGGGCTGTAGGCACACTATCATTGAACTTTTGTTTCAAATTTGAAGAAGACTGCTCAAAGTATGACCATTCTATAGTGTTTTTTCCATGAAAAGATCCAGGCGGAGCTCCAAATGACAAGTCGGTCACTCGGCTTCAAAACAGCACTATCAGTGATCAAACAACACTCAGCCAGCTTCAAACATTGTACCTTATTGAAATCAGGTGTGATTATGATAGCTGATGTTGTTTATGACACAGAAACACCATAAAATATCACCAAACAAAGCCATATGAAACATGAAAGTTATAATCCCACTTTTAGTGGTAGGAGTGAGACTCTTACCTTTTATAAAAGAGCTAAGTCCCCACTAACAGCTCCACATAAGATCGCGAGTAATCCTTTAACTTTTGCCATTGAAAAACGGCATGACGTGACTTGTCACCACTCATTGCGATTTTGGACTTTGTGTGTTTAAGCTGCTCTGGTGTGAAATACATAATAAATAAAAGAAAAACAATGTTATTTTTGAAAAGTCGAGAGCTTCCTGAATCCAGCAATACCAAACATCACATGGTTTGATGACGTAGTGCGCCTGGGAGATTCCATTTAACAGAGGAGGGGGGGGAGGGTGAGGACGTTGGCGTCCTGGCGGAGTTAGATTAAGGCCGCCGTGTGACATGTTGTGATACTGAAATAAAAGAAGTTAAGTGACAGAAACTTGAACTTTATGACCTCCCTCACTTTGTTGTCATATACACACAGGCCTGATATACACACACATGCACAAACAAGACCTATGCAGGGATTAAAGGGGGGGCGGGGACTTGACTCTGCGATCCTCTGGTGCCTATGGACTGAGCTACTGCCGCCCCACACGATAACTGATGTCATTTTTTAAGCAAAAATGCCACAAAAAAGGTTCCAGTTGCTTAAATTTGAATATTTTTATTCATTTGTTAAATTAATATTGTGGTAAACAATTTTATTTTTGGGTTTTAGACTTTAAATTGAGCAGACTAACTTAAAAAAGTGTGTTAAATTTGGCTTTGGAAAATTATGATTTAATTTTTTTTCACTACTTTCTGACATTTCTGATGAGAAAAGAAAAATCAATGATGGACATGATTGTTAGCTGTTGTTCTGATCCCAGCACAGAGGTCAGCGGCTGTGGTAAGGATTCAATATCTCTCTGTAGGACACTTCAGCATGGCGGGTGCATAAAGAGGAGCTGAAGGACAGCCTTTTTAATCACCCGGCCGCCCAGACATGTCGACATGGAAAACGATACAGACCGAGAGAGAGTGTTGACACTCACCACCACTCTGACGTGCTTGGACAAATCCCTCGAGCTTCTCTGGAGGAAATCTGAGAACGCAGCCTGCGAGCGCGCACACACACGCACACACACACACACACACACACACACACACACACACACACACACACACACACACACACAAAGAAAAGAACCCGATCAAACAGAATTACAGTTCATTACATTTCCCTCATTAAAAAGTGATAACTCCTCTGCATGCTTCCTCTCTGACTCCCACCCATCGTTTATTCCTCACATCTCTAATCCCTCACAGAATATCTGCAGGTTTCTAAATGTTCTGAGAACTGTTTAAAGATTTTCAGACTGATTCAAAACCAACATAAAGAAGAAGCTGAGCAAACAATTTCTGATTGAACAAAAAAAAAAATCTACAAACTACACAAGTACAAGAACAAAATATCAAAATGAATTACTGATAACAAGAGACATCCAAACGCTGCAGGTTGCATCACTGTTCATTATTTATCTAAATTAACTAATAACTGCAATTAATTTGGCATTACATGGTGACAAGATAACACCACTTCCATTTGGATTTAGGACTACAATTATTTCTGGCTTACAGTAAGACTTAGGCGGAATTTATACTTCTGCGTTGAAATAACACCGTAGCCTGACGTGCACCTCCACAGAAGTGTAACTACACGTCACAGTGACTCAGACCTCCTGTCTATTTCTGTAAGCTGAAACCATTTCCCTCAGTGGAAACAAAGCTTTTATTTACTTTAATTTCACAGATAAGAAATAATAAATTGTGAATACAATAAATCCTCCATTTATATTTCATTTTAAGTCTTGTGTGTGATTTATCCTGGCTTCATATGAGCAGAGGAAATCTCCGCTAGCTGCTAGGCTAATTTATACAATGTAAAATGCCATAGTCTTGTGCTAATAACGTTAGCATGTTATATTTGTTTGGAAAACATGTTTAGTATAAGACAGTTGTTTTGTCAGTGAACCTTGTGAGTTGTAATGGAACAAAATTTTGTAACGTTACCTTTGTTAAATGTTTGTTGTCCCTGGCTTCATATGAGAAGAGGAAAAGTCCACTAGCTGCTAGGCTAATTTATACAATGTAAAATGCCATAGGCTTGTGCTAATAACGTTAGCATGTTGTATTTGTGGGGAAAATGTGTCCAGATAAAGACAAATGTTTGTCTCTGAATGCTGCGAGTTATAGTGAAGCTGATTTGTGTACTTGTGTTTAAAATTGTCTCTATTAAGCCATGTTTAATGTGTGTTTAATGTGTGTTTAATGTGTGTTTAATGTGTGTTTTCAATCAACTAAACTTTACAGCACTTCACAGAAACCTCCGCTGCCGACTAGTGTTTTGGAGGTGTAACTGCAGAGTGACACAGACACACCACTGCACAAGTATAAATGCTCACAACGGTGTAGGGTCTGCTGCACAAGTATAAATCCCGCTTTTCGATTTTCCCTTCATCTGTATCTCCTGATTTTGTGTCTTTCCTTATCCTCCTGCATCATTTCTAACTCTCTTGATCCACTCTGATCTTGCCCCTCTCAGTAAAGCTGTATAAACTCTCAACATGTTTGTCTTACTAAGACAGACAGGAAGAGCAGTCGGAACCAGAAAAGTTTAGGCTGCATGAGTGTCTGAGTGTAAATGTGTGTGCAATAAGTCAAGTAGGACACTCACTCCTGCATAGAACATCTTGTTGCGGAAGCGACTGTTAAACTTTTCTGGGTTGGCCTCTGGAAAGACACAATCAGAGAGGCAGGGAAAGAGAATACATTAAATATGTTGCAAAACAGCAGAGAGGCGTGGAGTGTACAACAGTGAGAAAACCTGACTCATTTGTGCATGCATGAATGCCCCTGATGTGTCCTTTTTAATATTTGATTTCATTCTGCTCATCTTTCAGTGGAGTAGGATGCATTAACGGGAAAGAGAAGGACTTAATGGAATATAAACAGAGTTAATACAGGATGAAATGTAAAAATAGATTTCCCCGACCTCTGGACTCGTGGAACTCCAGGGTGACGTGAGCGTCGAAGCCCAGGCTGAAGTAGTTGTTGAACACATTCAGAGGCAGCTGAGGACACAGGGAAAACAATAATGTGAGTACGTTTGCATAAATAGTTCACAGTAACACATTAATATATGCTGCGCCTTTCAGTGCCTATCATAATGTCCACCCATTGAGTGGCACTTGTATCCAGATTTGCATATTATGTAAACACATTTCTACATGGATTTTTACTTCCACCACTCAAACATTCATATTTGCCACTTGTAAGGAGACCGTGTCAGAGGTCACCAACCTGTCAGTCTTTATGGAAATCACAATACATTTCACTTGAAAGATAATTCAGTGATCATTCCTGCTGCTCGTGTTTCATGTTGAAACGTCAGCGGGGGTGAAATGCTGTTGTGTTACTGTGATGCAGCTTCATGATATGATTGTATCTGTCACTGAATTAGAGCCGTCACTGCAGATCACTGCTGTTATTTGTTATTATTTACTGTACACGGGGAAGTTCAGGAGAAGGACTAGGAAGAGAGGGAAGGAGAGAATGAATGGAAACAAGAAGGAAACGGAAGCAGAGTGAAGGAGGAAGAAGCAAAGAAGGAAGCAAAGGAAAGAAGACAGAAAAGAAAGCAAAAGGAAAGGGAAGAAGAAGCAAAGGGAAGCGGGGGAAGTAGAGGGGCACAAGAGGAAAGGAAAGAAGGAAAGGGAAGCAAAGTAAAGGAAAGAGCAGCAGAGTGAAAGAGGAATAAGCAAATAAAAGAAAAGGAGACGGAAGGAGAAGCAGAAGGACTGAGAAGGAAGAAAAGGAAAAGAAAAAGGGAAAGAACAGGAAAGTAAAGGGAAGAAGAAATAAAGGGAAGTGGGGGAAGAGGTAGGGCACAAAAGGAAAGGAAAGTGAAGCAGAGGGCACGAGAAGGAAGAAAAGGAAGGAAAGGGAAGCAGAGGAAAGGAGAAAGAAGAGAAGGAAAGAGACAAAGGAAGGGGAAACAGAGGGAAGGTGAGAGAAGAAGGGAGCAAAGGAAAGGATGGGGACGAAAAGGGAAGCAGAAAGAAGGAGAAGGACGAACAGGAAAGGAAAGGGCAGAAGTAGTAAAGGGAAGCGTGGGAAGAATAGGGGCACAAAAGGAAAGGAAAGAAGGAAAGGGATGCAGAGGGCACGAGAAGGAAGAAAAGGAGGGAGAAAAGGGGAAGCAGAGTGAAGGAGAAAGAAGAGAAGGAAAGGAAATAGGGAAAAGGGAAAGGGAAGAAGAAAAGGGAAGCAGGGGGAAGAAGGGCACAAAAGGAAAGAAGGGAAGGAGAGAAGAAGGAAAGGAGAAACAGAGGGAAGGTGAGAGAAGACAGAAGCAAAGGAAAGGAAAGAAAAGAAGATGGAAAGGGAAGGCGAAGGAAGAAAAGGACAGGAAAGAGGGAAAGAATGGGAATGGAAAGGGAAGAAGAAGGAAGCAAAGGAGGGAAAGGAGACAGAAGCAGAGGGAAGAGATGAAGGAAAGGAGACAGAGGGAAGGTGAGGGAAGAAGGAAACAAAGGAAAGGAGACGGAAAGCGAAGCAGAAGGACTGAGAAGGAAGAAAAGTAAAGGAAAAAGGGAAAACAGGAAAGTAAAGGGAAGAAGTAAAGGGAAGCGGGGGAAGAGGAAGGGCACAAAAGGAAAGGAAAGTGAAGCAGAGGGCACGAGAAGGAAGAAAAGGAAGGAGAAAAGGGAAGCAGAGGAAAGGAGAAAGAAGAGAAGGAAAGAGACAAAGGAAGGGGAAACAGAGGGAAGGTGAGAGAAGAAGGGAGCAAAGGAAAGGATGGGGACGAAAAGGGAAGCAGAAGGAAGGAGAAGGAAGAACAGGAAAGGAAAGGGCAGAAGTAGTAAAGGGAAGCGGGGGAAGAAGAGGGGCACAAAAGGAAAGGAAAGAAGGAAAGGAGAAGGAAAGGGATGCAGAGGGCACGAGAAGGAAGAAAAGGAGGGAGAAAAGGGGAAGCAGAGTGAAGGAGAAAGAAGAGAAGGAAAGGAAATAGGGAAAAGGGAAAGGGAAGAAGA